GGAACCAGAGAAAGATATCTCACTGTCTTGTTAGTTCATGTGAATGGGATACCAACTGGGAGTCTATATTAGGGAGTCAGCTCTTTCCAGTAAGTACAATAATTAATGACAATATAAAGGCAGGAAGATTTCATATAAACAAGATGGTGCTTTAATGGAGCTAATTGGCTAAAATTTAAAATATATTGTGAAAAAAACAGTCAAATGGTTACATTAACAGGGAAAATTGAAGAATGTACAAGTCAGATAACAGAACATATTTTAAATGCTGCAAATTCTATCATACCAAAAATAAAAGGTGAGAAAAAAGTAGTTCCTTGGTGGAATGTCAAATGTAGTAGAGCAATTAAAGATCGTAACAAGGTATTTAAAATACTACAGATAAACATAACAACCGAAAACCTTATTGAATATAAAAGGAAAAGAGCAATGGCTCGTAAAACTACTGAGGAAGCAAAAAAGAAAACATGGAGAGAATATCGTTCCTCAATAGGTTCAGAAATAAAATTACAGAAAGTTTGGTCAATGTTTAGAAAATTGAAAAAGCAACATTGAAATTAATATTAAAATTGTTTAATAAATATGGAAAGAAGACTTAATACCAAATAGCTGGAAAAGGGCAACAATACTACCATTTAATAAGCCATAGACCTATAGCTTTAACTACTCATTTAAGTAAATGGATGGAGAAAGTAACAGTCAATAGATTAGGATTTATTCTTGAGCATAAGAAATTAATTAATGGATGGGGAGATAAACAATTGATGCACTAACTAGAGTCAGTAATGACATAGAGAAAGCTCTAAAAATGAAGGAGATAATTATTGCTGTATTTTTGATATAGAAAAAGCATATGATTCATTACGGAGTGAAGGACTACTTATAAAAATCAATCAGATGGGAATATGTGGGAAGATGTATAATTGGATAGCAATTTTTTGCTGGACAGAAACATAAGAGTGAAGATTGGAAATGTTTATTCAAAAGAATTTAAGGTGGAAAATAGAATTCCTCAATGTAGTCCAATTAGTGCCATTAAAATCTGCATTATGTGCAGATGATGGGGCCATATGGATGAGAGGAAAGAATATAAAACATGTGGTAGGAAATATTAAGAAAGCAATTCGTAAAGTAGAAAAATGGTCTTATGAATGGGGTTTTAAATGATCAGCTCTCCAGAGTTTTTGAGTTGCATACATTTTTTTCCAAATAATATATCAATAGAAATTTTTCTTAGCTCAAACTCAGCTTTGCATAGGCATTTTTTGTACACTAGATGGCCCCGTCTACCAACATTGTTTTATCCTCCAATCTGCCGAGGCGTCCTGAATTAAATCTCGCATCTCTTTTCAATACCGTGGACAACATAACCAACACACAGAGACATATTCACAATAAATGTTTCTTCCAGACTTGTTTTGCTTATTTTAGTTCAGTCATATTTAGCTTTCAGCTCCCGTCTGCAGTTTATTTTACCACACCAAGTGGCACTCATGAGTGTGCAGGGAAGAAAATCCAAGGCTGATAGTTCTATGTCTGCGTTCTACAGATAAGGAGTGCTGAATTTCCTCCATGGGCCAGTTGGAAATGGGTCACTCGAGGCACATTATCCGTCAAAGAGGAACAGCGAGGCCACGAACATAGATTCGCAAATAATAATGCGTTCTTTTTTTTTTTTTTTGGTTTGTTTTACAAGTTAGGTTGCCTTTAAATTTTTATGCAACCATGCATATGTGAACAAAGTTCCCAGGAAAAATCCTCACTGGAGGGCAGATAAAATAAGGCGTATCAATAATGTACAAGTAAAAAGGATCTTTGCTGAGAGTGAGTCTTCTTCAGACTGTCATATTTTCACACAACAAAACAAGAAGAGTTGCTTTTGTGTACCATGCAAGAAAAAGGGCTGGGACTAGTAGTTTTGCTTGACTCCTGAACGCGGGTCTGTCGTATCTGGAATCGGTTTGAGATGAATTTTGAAGGAAGTTGTCCAAGAACAGTAAGCTTTCATGTCCAAACACTGAATCCACTTGCTTTTCATTTTTGGTTGCACTACATTGCATCAGGAAGAAATTACTAAAGAGGGAAGTCTTTCACTGCAATGTTTTATACTTTTGAAATCCCTGCAGAATAATTAAGGCACCAACAAAGGAAGCATGATCATAATGAACCACCTGATCATGACTTCAACCCGAGTTTTAACCCCCTTTGTTCAAACTGAACGAGGAAACAGTCAAATTGTGCAAAAATGCATCGCCTGAGTTCAAACTAAATTGTAGGTGAAGGAATGAGCACAGCGCAATGAGGCAGTGGCTCTTAAAGTGGGGTATAGCAGAGGCTCCTAAGAGGGATACTGTAGGAAAGTGCTGAAAAGATCAAAGCCGCCTTAATGTCTTTACTGACTCAAAAGTAAACCACTACTTTGTGTGTATGGGTACATCCGTACACCCGAGCTTCTGGGATGATTCTGAATTGGCTGACTGACCACGATTCTTGGTAGAACTTATTTGAATTGGTTGTTGCCATTAGCCTGTTTTTTTTTTCCATTCCAAACCCAGTTGGGATTATTGTCCTGTTAAAGAGGCAGTATTATGTAAGATGAACTGTTTTGAGCTTTACATGGTATTATAGTGTTATTCCTTCATTATGTGGAGTGCTGCTTTGATTTTTTTCATGCATGTTTGAGAAATCATACAATCGTTTCTCAAACCATTCAGATTCCACACCTGGGTGAACCAGCGCCGCCTCGAAGGACGAAGCTCATCTTCGGAGCCACGGTTTCCAATCTTATCTTTGACCTTACAAAGCACCCGTCCACTGCAACTCCCCCACTCAGCTCCTTCAGACTAGCCAGCAGCAATTAGCAAACACCTGGTGGAACTGCTGAGCTCATTATGCAAGCGACTTCACAGTGCAACTCTAGTGAAAACATTGTTAAAGGGCTAATAGATAAGCCATGTTATGATGACTTCCTGAAGAGCGGGGATTTCTTAAAGAGACAGAACCTCAATTTTAGTGAGTTTAATTACAAAGTCAAATTTCTTCTAAGTCATGTTTGACAGTATTTTTATAATAACTGAAGGTAACATAGTTATTTGATTGCGCTATAAAATGACACTATGTGCCTAATACTGCCCCTCTAATTCTCAATAGTGAAACAGTAAGATAATGTGAATTTATTTTCTGATGCTTCCATTAAGGCAGACATGGTCTTTCTTGGATATTTCAGAACATTTTCAGCCAAAATAAGGTTGAGCTCATTGCTGTACTTCGCCTCCAGCTGTTAAACAGCTCTCAGTGGTCTAAGCTCTGCAAGACTTGTCTAATGGATCTCTAAGTCTCGTGTTGAGACTAAGTCTCGTGTTGAATATGCTGCGTTTTAATGAAGAATGCTCATAATACATTGCACCTCTGCTCTCCCTTGTGGCGTTTATGAGGTTTGAGACATTATTAGTTTCGCAGCTTCTGGCCTCTTGTTTTCAGTAGGTCAACCACTCAGCGCCTCTTGCTCATACCGGGGAAGCGTCGTATACTTTATGTGTCACGCTGGTCTGCTTAATACCCTGACTATCATTAAATGAGCTCCTCAGCAGAGGTGTTTATGAGGCAGCCCACACACCACATGCCAGCGTAGCGAGGCAGAAAGTAGTATGGATTTCAAGCCCAGGTGTGTGAGGCGGTGTGACCTTCGGCGGGGCAACTCGGGTTTGCTGTGGGTTCGTGACTCGGTGTGAAAAACAGGTTTCGTGTGAACAGCGGCAGGTTAAGTTTGGCTCTTTTGCTGATCCCTCACACAGACACTTCCTATGAGCCTGGCTTTGTTTGATCCCGTCCCAGTGGCGCTCTTCATTGGACGAGACGGCGTCGCGCCACATCATTATGTCAGACAAGCAGGGCACCTGCCTCATCAATATTTATACCGCCCCATGGGAAAGGCAAAGGGAAGGGGGGGCAATTTAAAACATTGTGTATGCATCAGTTGGACCAAACCTTGGCTGTGTGTGGGTCTTTCCAGTGCTTTAATATTTGAACACATTTTTGTAAGCGGGGGACTAAATACTGTAGCAGTGCTCTTACAGTTCACATGCTAGCACAGCTTCATGTAAGTTTTATTGCAGGGCCAAAGCATCCACCAGTTAGCATCACTGCATAAAAGTGGTCAAATATGAAATTCCATGAATGAAAAGTAAAATTAACTATTCAGCTTGGTAGATGTTTTTTTTTTTATTATTATTCTTTCCAGAGTTAAAACAAAGAAAAGGGGCAAGGTTTTATTAAAATATTCCCCTTCTTCAGGCCGTTTATAGTCACACATTCCACATATGTGGAAATAATATGTGAAGATGTGAATCATGTGGCTTTCTGCCATGAAGCGCTCTAAATCCACACTTGATTTTCACAAGTGAAATTCATGGGATTTTTAGATGATCAATTTCCACTAGGGCCCTTTGTAGTTTTTTTCTTTCTTTTTTTTATTTCATCATTGTCTGTTTCACTTGGTTTCGATTCGATTTTCTCCTGGTTCTGTTCAACTACTTGAGCTGGCAATATGTTGATCAGTAAAGCTTCTTTCACTCTACTACTCACTGGAGGCAGTGTAGCATGCGTTAAAAAAATATCTACTCAATAAGGCCTTGGTCTGAATATATTGAACGAAAAACTGTGGATCTATCTCGGATGTAAAATGTCAAACTTGAAAACAGAGGTAAATATTGGCTCTTCCTCCGGGTGCTGAAAAAACTGCTTTTACTTGACAGCCGAAGTGAATTTTCAAAAGGTCAGAAGCCTATTCACAGATAAATACACAGCCACCCAAAAACATTCATAACTTTTTAAAATTTTGCTAAGCTGCAGTGAATTTTATCAGGGATTGATTTGACCCTCAAATACAATGTGGTGCACAACTATGAAAAGGACTCATGGTTTTCTCATTTATTTTTCAAAATAAATACGAAAAACACCCACACAGCTTGAAGCAACTTTATTTACTAATTAGGTGTCTTCTCCAGGCAGCTCGTTTTATTTAAGGGTGTCAGGGTGAATTGGGGTCGAATGTAACACACAACATGTTTTTCATATTTTTATTTGTTGAACTTTTGAAACCATGCATCCTCACTAAAAAATGTGAGGATACCACAAGATCTGTAAAATGAATTCACAACAGTCTGTTGTTTTTCTCTGCACCCAATAAGTCAATAAACATTTTCTTTTATAGTTGCTAGATATTTAATCTGCCAATGAACTTTTTCACGGAAGGTTCATTGGAGGGTAATTTGAAAACTGCTGCTCTAAAATGAGAAATAAATGTTGAAATAAACAGCATACAAAATCTCTTTAGTTTGCTGAGGACCATTTCTTGTGTAATCTTAATTCAATTATCAGAGATGTTAGTTAGCCTCACCATGAAATAGACAACAAAAGGCATAAAAAGATTTAATTCACTCCATTTTGACAAGTATAATTCAAATGATTGCCAACAGTAAATACAGTGTAATGATCTGAAAATAGCTTGGTTACTTATGGTAACAGAAGCACTTCTCTTATTTTATAACAGCGATAGACTTTCAGTCTAAATATTTAAGAAACTGATAAAAACCAGAAAGTCTTACAGCTATAGTCTTCTGTCTACTGTTATACTGTAACACATATAGATACAATCTGAATACCAAATTATGATGCACAATTCATACATTCACAAAACAAATGTACATCAAATGACTTATAGTCATACCTAGCTCTGACATAAGACGTATTATTATAAAAGATACAAATTTTTCACTTGATTTACACATATTTCAAGACCATAGAATTGTGTCGAACGTATAAAAGACAAGGTTTTAATGAAAATGTGGCACTTGAAGTTGTCCTCTGCTACATTCATGACACAGTCCTGTGGGACAGATAAATAAATATACATTTTTCAAAATAAATAAATAAATGTAAAAGTTCACTTAAGCAATATTTTGACCATTTGGGTAAATTTTACATGACAAAATATGCCTTTGTGTACGCTAAAGGAGGAATAACATCCACTAGCTAGCTTAGCATCTCTTAGCTTAGCATAAAACTAGACAGGCCTTGCTCAAAGGTCACAAAAAAAATCTGCATACTTTTTCTAATGTTTTCTAATTAAAACATCCAAGTGTTAAAAATGTTAGTTTGTGCCTAGTCATATTTAGCTACATACATAAAGACCAGGCTGTGATAAAAAAACAAAAAAAAAACATGATGTGATCAGTAGTAATGCAACAAAATATGGAACTGGAAACTATAAACTCAGTGAATCCATCCATCCATCCATCTGTCCCCACAGATTTCTAATCGTTTTTACTTAAATTCTAGAACAAACAAATTTAATATCTGACAGGCATGAACAGAACAAAACCAAAAAGGAGTTTAATTTCCTTTATTAAAGATACAAATCCATCTAAGGTGAAAAAAACAAAAGCAAAAAGATTGCTCATGTTATGAAGTAGCTATTATTAACCACATTTCCAGCATCAGTTTCTCTAGCAAAATATAGGGATTACTGCCAAACCGTTCGACTCATGACTTGATTGAGGTACGCCGAAAGACTTCAGTATTCTGAACGCTGACTGCATAATCTTACAATTTCAAGAACAGATGGGAAATCAATGTCAATGACACCGAGCTGTCTGGAAAAGGCTACAAAGCAATTTGTAAGACATCGGGAGCCCAGACAAAGAAAATGAAAGACATTATCCACAAATTGGACAAAACAGGACATTGTTGACTCTTCCCAGGACTGGGTTCAAGACCAGACAGGTCACAAAAGAGCCAAGAAGTTGAGATCAGTTTTCACGGGACAGAGCCGAAGCAAAAATGGCATCCAGGGCAGAGTTCTAAGATCAGAACCAAAATGACCACATGTCTCATGTTTCCCAAACAACCTCCCAGTCATCCCCAAGAAGACACATGGGAAATTATTCTGTCGACTGTTGAGACAGCAGTGGAGCTTTATGGAAAGTGTCCCATTACATCCGGAGCAAAACTGACACGCCACTACAGAAAAAACGACATGATACCAGCAGTGAAGCACGGCGGTGGCAGTGTAAAGCTCTGGGCCTGCTCTACGGGTTCAAGGCCTGGTTTTAGCGTTTCTCAGCACTGTACATTCATTTTCAGCATTCACAATTGGCAACAACAACCAGCCTTTCTTGCAGCTGTCATAGCTGTTGTGTTCGGCTGAGACATTGTGAGTTTTTACCCTTTTGAGCAGCAATTTTGTAATTAATTTTTTTGATTACTACGTGGCGCTATATGCCATGGGGCAATTTGTCATTTTCTACAAACCAAAGTAGACATATTGACTGAGATAAGTGTCAGTCAATGTTTTCCTATCTTTTAAATATAGTCTAATATAAGGAAATGTGGTTTTATGACTTCATTATTTAATATCTTCCCACAACAGGTCGGCCATAGCTGTTGGATTAATCAGGGACATAATCTGACAGAATTCAATGGCATCATCTGGTCCAAATAGAGATCAGAAATTAAATACATAAAAATACAATTTAGAATCTTTAGAAAACAATGTTATTAAATTATACATGACCATTTTGGAACTACTTATCATAAAAATAATTAGGAGAAAAACTGAACTGACACGCAAAAGCCGGAGCACATAAGGGAAAAAAATAGCAATATGTGAGTCCAAAATGAATGTATTAGTTGATGAAACTGAACCACTGTTATTGATAAGAGACAGATTTTATAAACAAATCCCTGCTCATTAGTGAGAGAAAGTACATTTTGGTAATAAAGTCAGAAAAACTTGAGGAAAATGTTTTGTCGGAAAAAAAAAAGTCTGAAATTGGAGCCACAGATTTCTTCACCATTTTGGTGAAGAAATTTTATACATCTGGTTTTATGCTAAGCTAGTGCAGAACTCGTGCAGCCTGGCTGCATTGTTCTTCAGGTTAAACTTCTACGAGCAGCTTTTTCTTCATCTCATCTAATCCTACAACAACATAAATGTGACAATCTACAACCCAACAGCTGCTTAGATCCTCCTCTTCTCTGATGAAAGACAGCAGTCACAATGTGTAAACACAAGACACATTTTCCTTAGCATACTGTCAAAGTGAATAGTCTTACACTGGAACTATTGTTAGTCTGGTTAGAAACCTGTTTTCAAATAAATAAATAAATAAATAAATGTACATGTATTCATTGGCAAGCTTATTCAATTGTCAAGTAAAGGCAGAATCTACTTAAATGTAAAATATTACATCAGAAATATACAGCATGTTTGTAAGATCTTTCACTACTCCATACGGCGTATTTAATTCTTATAAATTGTAGGAACTTAAGTAAAAGCTATCGTGGGAAAATGACCACAGAGTGACTTCTTCCTTATATATTATCACATACAGCGCATGTTGATGTAAACTGGAATAAGTAGCAGAACTCTTAAAACTGCAGCATGTAACTTTCATAAAAAATATTTTCCACATGTCTGTTGAAACTGACGCTATGTCGTGACAGTATTGTTTGAAGATGATAATCTGTGAAAAAAAAGGATCAAGCTCCTCTGCCTTCTCCCAGTGCTATGGAGAAACCACCAATCTGAGCCAGGAAGAGGCTCTTACCGTTGTTAATCACCCCTCTGTGTAGCGCTGCTCATTCTCCCATTTATCTCCCCCTTCTTGCTCTCTGCTATGCTACACTGAGCACAGTCTGTCATGAATGCTCAAGCTGGTTAGGGTGGCGACTGATCACTGCGATAAATGGTTTTTCTATAACGGTGAGGTGTTTCTCTGCCATTAGCACATTTAGTAGAGTGTACACAAGGATGACTGTCAGCGCTAGGAACCTCCTCCTGGCTCTAATTGGTTGTTTTTGATTAGGAGTGGTGCATTTCTTCAGATGATAATAGTAGCTCATGGAGAAGTTGGAGATCAATTTTTTCACAAATTGTCTCAAACCATACTGGCACAACATGGTGACAGTTTTAACAAAAGGCAGTTTTTATTAAAGTTACATACTGCACCTTTAACATTTAGGGCATCAAATCACAGAGTCGAAGCGCTCTGCTTGTAGTCTCCAAGAATGACAGAGGCATACGTCACATTTGGAGGTGTGCACAAGACAGACTCGGACACTGGTGAGTTGGGAAACGGGCTTACTGGGGTACCAGAGCGATCACGGAAAGGGGACGGAGGCATTAGGGCGACGGAGTCCTCCATTGCTAATTTGACCTCAATCAAGTCCTCCTCCTCTTCCTCCTCCTCATCGTCGTCGTCGTGAATCTGGGTGTTGTTATACATGTAGCCCTGTAAGAGGCCAAACTGCTCGTTCTCCATTTCTTCCTCCTCCTCTAAAGGGGAGACGGGCTCCTCATCAAATGGGTCAAGATGGACAGGCAGGATGGGTTCCTGCTGGATGAGGTGAGCCTGGTGGTACACCGGCATGCCTGAAACAGCCGGAGGCAGGCGCACATCGTCAAAGAGCTCCTGGTTGTCACTGCTGAACTTATTCAGAACAATCTCCTCCTGCAGGCGGTCCGTGACGCAGAGTTGAGGGATAACGCTATTTTGCTGGAGACGCTCCAGGGAATAGAGCTCCACGTCCCCGGCCGCCTCTTTTGTCATGTCACAGGCTGGCATCTGTCCATGGGCCATCATGGGGGGAGTGGCGGGGGAGCTGTAAGTGAGCGGGTCGTTTTCGTCCTCCTCAGCTACATTGTACAACGTCTTAGTGCTGAGGTCTGAGAACTCCCCGGCAGTGTTTTGGTAGGTATTAGTTAAGGGTTTGATGACAGCCATCTGATTGGAACCTGCTTCCTGTCTCTTCACATGCACTGACAGTCTGTGCCACATATGATCCCCTTTGGGAGGATGTCTTGCACCTGGTTCAGACCATGACACAGACTTTCCATTAGAACTATGAACAAAATAAAGATGGCTGTTACTGCGCAGGAACCCGCAAAGGTGTAGAAGAAAAGACAGGTTCAAGTTCATGTCAGAAAATCATGCTAGTTTGAAAATAACTGGTTTTTATATATATTCTAGTCTAATATAAGTCTATAGGTGGTATTTCAGGGTATCTTCAGGTTTAATAGAGAGTTGAATTTAGCACACAAACGTGTCATAGTTTTAGTCTGAAGCTTACATGCATTCAAGATTGGCATGAATGTCAAGTAATGTTCAGTAATACATTTCAAACTTTCTTTTTTCTGAGTAGACGAACCATAAAACAAGCAATTTCAGTATGTTTAAAAACAAAACTTCACTGCACTAGATTGATTGTGAATTTTCTCTAATTGACAGATTTTAACTACACACGTCTACCACTATTTGGATAAATGCCTCCTAGTAAGTTGCACCTTACCAACTTAAACAAGCTTCCAGATCAATTCTAGTAGAATATTTGACCATTTGTTTTGGCAGAAATTGCAGAATTCACTTAAATGTGTTGGTACAACCGTCAAGTATGGTGACCGCAGCATAATGGATCTGTTTTGCTGCCAGTGACAGTGATGCATTGCAAATAGAAGTGGGAACAATGAAGGTTTATCATTACCTCCAGATAGGTAGCTAAAATTTGTGAAGGAGCTGGTGCTCACACAACACAAAAAGGCCAAACACACAACCATTGATTGGTCAGTTAATGTATATGTTTGAGCCAGTCTGGAATATATAAAGTCAAGGATATATACAAGTTGTTCCTCCAATTCTTGTGAAAACCAACAATAAAAGTCAATTATGAAAAAATTTGTCATTGAATGAATGACTAAAAATTTAAAATAGACATTTATGCCAGTGGTTAATGTATGCAAACTTCTGATCTGAGATGTATTTTCTGGTCTGGTCTTTAGTCCAATGAGTCCTGTAGAAACCCTTTTTATGTATTTTTTTGATCCCTCAGCACGTAGGAATGCTTGTTTTAAATTGGCTAACAGATCAAAGTTTGACACGTCTGTGTGAATTGAGCGATGGCCTACATTTGCCACACTTTACAACAGGTGCCTCTCTGACAGTAAATACAGCGAGATGTCAAGCTCCCTTAGAGAGGGAGTTCCAGTAAAACGAGCATCCCTGAGGTGCCTCAGGAGCAGGACTCAGACTCAATTAATGAACCCACCTGCCGTTCCCGGTGTTCTTCTTCCTCTTGAACATGTTGAGGAGGCTGTTGCTTCGGCAGGCGATCTTGCCGTCGCCGACGTGCATGCGCACGGCGTCGGACGTGGTGAACGCGCTGCGTACGTTCCGCTCTGGCTTTGCAATGATGATGTACATCTTTGGCGTGAACATGCACCCCAAAGCCACGGTCACGCTGAGGCTCACGGAGAACGACGTGGTGATGATCTTGTAGTTGCTGCCGAAGTAGATCGGCACAAAGGCGAGCCAGATGATGCACGTGGTGTACATGGTGAAGGCGATGTACTTGGCTTCGTTGAAATTGGCGGGAACGTTGCGGGTCTTGAAGGCATAGTAGGTGCAGCTCATGATGAGCAAACCGTTGTAGCCCAGTGGTGCCACAACGCCGAGGTTGCTGGTGTTGCAGATCAGAAACACTTCTCTGATGCTGGGGTAGGATTTGATCGGTTCGGGAGGCTCCATGATGATAAGCGTAACTTCCAACGTCAACTGAAGACTGATAAGTATTGAGGCGATGACCACCTGAGCCCACGCGCTCATGAACCTCGGCTTCCTGGTGCAGATCTTCTTCTTGCTTCCCGCCAGGATGCGAGCGATGCGATTGGTTTTGGTCACGAGTGCCGAGTAGCACATGGCGGCCGAGAGACCGACGAGAAGTCTCTGAAGGTAGCAGGACGCCACTGTGGGTCGCGCTATGAGGGTGAAAGGGCACAGGTATCCAAGGAAGATCCCAGCCAGGATAATGTAGCAGAGCTCGCGGCTGGATGACTTCACCACAGGCGTGTCACGGTACAGGACGAAGATGAAGGCAACGAATGATGTGACCAGGATGCCCAAACAGGAGAAGACAACCTGGATGATGGATTCTGGATTGCTCCACTCCAGGTAGTGCAGGGGAATTGGTTCGCAACCTGACGGGAGAATACCAGCTATTTTACATCGTGTCACAGAATCACAAAATTCACAGTTTGTGAACAGTGGCTGTTCGAGTTCACCAGCAACATTATGGGGATTTTATGTGACAGACCAATATAAAATTTTATAGATCGTAATGGATTATTAGGTGCTGTTGCAGGATTACTGTTTCTTAACATAGGTTGTTTTTGAGGTTATACCGGAAGAAATCTTGGGATGCTTCTTGGAAGGGAGGGGCTGTTGTCAGAAGACGAGAAAGTTGGCTGATATCTCTTTGAGAACTGCCCTGTTATATTTGACCTAAATAAACCAGTGTTAGTTGCAAAACTTCTGTCTGGTGCTTGGGGGTCATAACGGAATATTACAATATTTGTTTTTTCAAATGAAATAAATTAATTTAAAGAAAATAGAGCTTTCTACGAAGGCAACAGAGGTTTGCAAAGAACATTACCATCACGAAGACCAAGAAAGACAGCAGATAGGTCAAAGAAAAGGAACATGTAGGCAAAAATCACAGCAAAATTACGTAAGAACGCAAAATTCCAAACTTTGAACATCTCAAAGGATGCTGTTCAATCCTCTATTGAAAAATGAAAGCAACATAGCCAGAATGCAAACTTATTAAGAAACTAACCCTAATTTGAGAGGCCAGCAAAAAAAAAAAGCATTTCTGAGAGGAGCAAAAAGAAATCCAAAAATAAATTAGAGGGAGTTGCACAGATCGACAGCTCAAGTGGAAGAAACTGCAAAATGCAAAATAGTATGTGTGGTGGAAAACTAAGGCTATACAACACCATTACAGAACTGTGTCAGGTTTATGATGTAGGAATGACTTTTATTCAGCAGAAACAAGATGAAGTCCTATTAGAGACTGCAAACGACTAAAGATTAGGGAGAAGTGTGTTGATGGACAACAGCATTAACATACAGCAAGAGCCCAAATAACAATCAAATCATATTAATGTGCTAGACTGGTCCAGTCAAAGGTCAGACCTAAATCCAACTTAGAATCTGTGACAAAACCTTAAAGTTGCTTGAGCTGTCTTGCAAAGAATAATGGGCCAACATTTCAGCCTCCTGATGTGCAAAAGTTTTGACTCAGAGAGCTGAAGGCAATTGCACAACAAACTTAGTTCTCTTTGTTAGAAATTTCTTTTTTGCAGCATTTAAGCCAACTACTTTGGTCAAATCATAAAATCCCTATCAATATATGGACGTTTGTGGCTCCAGCCTGACAAAATAGGATTATGTAAAATTGGCCATCAACTCAAAGATGAATAAATAATTTTGAAATAAAAAGCCCTTCAGACTTCAGGCTACTTTACACGACTGCATGTACAAGAAATGATGAGCATCTTAGCCAGAGAAAATACAGTAATTTCTAAAGTAGGTTTTTAGCTCAACTATAAATAAACGCCTTTCAACTGAGCCATGGCCAGGCTGGGCTGCAGCCAGGCTGGAGGGGGCCAAAGAAGCAGGACAAAGTAAGTAGCTGCACATTTCAGACATCAGAGTAAAATCACCTATATTTTTTCATTCGTAGAGTAGAAGGGGAATGTGGAATTTGTATGATTTCTAACACTTTTAATCTACACATAGACAGTCAAGGAGTGATCCGGTTTTGTTTGTGTAATCAACACTGTTAAAAATGCAGAAGCTTGCGTGTGATTAATGTGTTAAGAAGATGTCTTTTGTTTGGAAAGGCGTACAAGGCCTTGTTAAAGTGGGCCAGAAGAGTGGTAAGTGGAATAGGGCTGCTGTCGGATGAAATGGTGAAGATGATGAATGTGCTCTCAGGTGTCATGGGAAGGCAATGAAAATAGGACAGAACAGGTTTGGGAAGCAGAAAACTCTTAGCAGGACAAATTGTACATGGTGCAGTAGTTCTGGCAGGAGAAGTAGGAGCTTGGGGGAACTTTTTGGTTTTGTAAGTCAAGCAATTGTCGCTGCTTGGAGGCATAATGCCAAAAAAATGGAGACTCAGGCAACTAAAGTAACCCCAGTTTAAGTCAGCATGAAAGCAAACAAACCAAACATTATTTTTCCCCCTCTAGGGGGTTTTTGTGGGCTCTAGCATCCCTTATATGAAAGTAGGCTGACAGGAAAGGAGACAAGACCTGTGGCAAATATCGTCAGGTCCGGGAATCGAACCCGCGTCGAGGAATCAAGGCCTTCAAATGTGGGTCGCGCTATCCCGTACGCCACGCCCAACAAGCTTTAGCTTTTGTTTCTAATCAAACAAAAAATTTTGTTCAGGCGTAGCAGTTGGGTCCTCCATAAAAAGAAGAAAAAAATCTGATTGTTCTTGCGCATCTTCATCAATTTTCCTTTGTCTGAGAGCTTGGCTTAGATGGTGGACAATCATACCAAACACATCAAATCTGGTTGTGAAGTGTGTTATGCAGGAAAACATTGAGCTTCTGGAATTGCCCAGACTAAAATCAGATTGTAAATGTGACTATACTTAAGATTTATCAGTTACTACAAAGATAGTAACTGATAAATATCCAACTAGAATTACTTCAGAACCTTGATGAGACATATGATTTTTCTGAAACATGCATGATTCATCCAGATATTGGTGGTGTATGTATTTATTTGAGCTTATATGCTGTATGTTGATTCTATGTAGAGGAAATGCACAATGAATTTGAATCTGTACACCCAATTTGCAATTGAAGATCATTGAGTGCCCTTCACAAAACAAAACAAAAAAAATGAAATCAAATATAACAAAATGTGTATGACATTCATGTAGAAATTGAATGTATCAAACCGTCTGGAACGCCACACAGTCTTATTTATTTATTATCTGGTTATCTGGTACAATACTGATGGTAGCTGTTTAGATCTTCTATCGTCTCGTCTTCAAAACTGACAAAACTTTTGCAGCAGCTGTAAAAACAAGGAGAAGGAGGCAAACAAACGTACCCTCCAGTTCTTTGTCAGGCCACCAGCCCAGCTCACAGGCCTTGCATGTGAACTCGTCCTGCACATATTCATTGTCCTTGCAGGCAGTGCATATCCAGCAGCAGCTCACCTCCCCCTTTCTTATGACCTGTCCAGAAGAAACAAAGAAATTAAACTACTTATCAAAAAATACCATTGTGTGACTCTCTGCTGCCTGGAAAAAAAGGAAACCTAGTAAATATTTAATATTTGCTTTAAACATAGAAAATTTTAAGAAAGAAAAGCTATAAGTAACAAATAGGCAGCGGAACAATTATTTTTTAAATGTTTTACTAATAAATAACTTATTACAGTTGTGAATAACAGCAGAATTATTTATAGACAACAAAAGATGTCTAATTGGAATTGCAATGCTTTTAACAATCATTTGTTTTGTTGATTAATAAGGTGTCTATTTAAATTAATTGATAGGCTGCTAGCTAACTCCCTCACTGGATAGTTAACTAGCAACTGTCTAACTATTTAGATAGTTAGCCAACTATGGAGCTAGGTAGCCAGCTATCTAGCTCTTTAGCTAGTTAGCCAGCTATCTAGCTAGTTAACTAGCTAACTAGCTTTTTAGCTAGTTAGCTAGCTGTCTAGCTCACTACTAAGCTAGCTGGTTAGTTAGTTAGCTAGCTATCAACAAACACTGTACAATTAAACAGACAATTAAAGTGTGTGAATTAAGTATGTTTTTACTAATGGGAGTAGACAAAAACATTAAAGATGTCCGCCATCAGTGACATCTAATCACAGCGTGTAAAAGATGAGTCCTGAACCTTGATTTCTCCTTTGGAGCAGGGCTCGCTGCAGACGGAGCGGACCATGTCGCTGCTGTTCATCTGGATCATTTCATCGTCGAGGCTCAGCATGCCCTCGTGCCACGAGCCGATGTTGATGTAGTCATAAACCCCAGGCTCCACATGCTGGAAGTTCATAATCTCATACCTGAGTGAAGATGGGTCGGGAGAAAAATGATGACAAGGTGATCGAAATAATTTATAGCTAAAAAGGACTCCTTAACAAACTCTTTTTTCAAGTCAGTTTTTAGCCCCCATTTTGTGTTTTTCAAATTAGTTTATTTATATTTAGTTTATTTATATTAGTTTATTTATAAAATATTTCTTTATTTTTTTTACTTTCCTTCCCAATATATTTCTTGTGCATTTATAATGCTTAAGTACTTGACTTGATCAAGCAATTTTTTTATATAGGACAAAGATAATACGAGTAAATACAACAAGCAATTTTAAAATTGTAATTTAATTTATTGAGGGACAAAAAACGTATTCAGAACAACTGTGACATATCCATTTCAAAAACAATTAACCACTTCCTGAATCCAATAACTTGACTTTCCAGCCTTGAGGGCAAGTGTCAGTAAAAACTGGTAGTTTTTACTGACCAATTACATTGCTTTGGATGAATGTTCACCCACTCCTCTTTGGAGATTTGTTTTCATGAAGCCACATTGGAGGGTTTTCAAGCATGAACAGTCTTTTTTTAAGGCAATGCCTGGGATTTATATTGTCTATTAACCATAATTGCGGCATAAAACCATGCTTTCAACCACACACGTGAAGTAGCTTACCTTCCAGGCGAGTCTCCATTCTCATCAAACCATATGTCCTCCCCGGACACTCCTGTGAAGGACGTCTTGAGCAGAAACTCCAGCAAATGGCTTCCATCGATGGGTTTCATGTCATCACACAGTCCCACATAGCCAGGACAGAGGTGAGAGTGCATGTCATGCAGACCGTGTGCCATGGCGTAGATGGCATTGATGACAAAGCCCATTTTGCTGTCTTGAACATAGTTGTCTTCAAGACTTTCGTAACCTGCCCATAAAGGAGACAACAGTAAGGAATCTCTTACAAGATAAGCGTATTCATTTTTTAAATGGGAAAAGCTGTACAGTGCCTCGTTAATGCAAGCAGTAGCATGTTTTATGTCATCTCTCAGGTCCATATGTACCCAACAGGTTGCCTGGCAGGATGCAAGGAATTACAAAGGAGTGATAGGGTGCACACAGCTGCAGAAAATGTTCTCTGAATTCAAGCTGCTGGAAACATGTTCATTTTGTTTTTTTTGTCCTCTGTGGGAGACTGCTTTTAAGGAACTGGAAGTCTCAGAAAATGGCTTCGACGAAACCTTGTTACCATGGCAAAACTATTCATTCTTGGAGTCATGAGTCAGGATTGAATTAGAAATGGTCCAAGTCTCTTAAAAACCTGCACCGCATTGCCTCTGCATTCTGCTTGACCACCATTAATATGCCAAAGTCTCACGGGTTTTTCTTTTATTCAGCTCCCTTATTTCATCTGTCACTGTGGGAATTAACAAATACTTAAAAAATGAGTAACATCAGAGTATGATTTTTTTTTTCAAACACCCTATCAGTTCAGTGTAATGCAAGCTGGAGAAAGCAGTTTTTTAATTAAGCGTTTCACATTGTACTTACACCAACCTCTCTTGCGGCAATCTTTTTGTGTTAATAGCTGTGTTCAATATTTTGCATCTTCTCGCCAAAGGTCCCTGAAGTCTGATTTTTTTCTTCTTTGCAATGCAAGCTAAAGCAACTAATAATGATGCATTACAAGACTGCAGTCTTAACCTTCACTATCAGTACAAGATAGCATCATCCTGTACATGCACATGCCTTGGAAAAGTGTTCGTAATCCTTAAACCCTTACTTATGCAACACTTGCTGTGTTTTACTGAGACTTGACTTGACAGAATAAAATGTAAAGAGCACAGCTGTGAAGTGGGAGGTAAATAATAAATGGTTTTAAAATATTCTTGTAAATACAATTCTGAATAGTTCAGCACACACACTCGTTATTTCGAGAAAACCATCAGGAAAAGCTACATATGTAAAATGTCTGGTCCTTGGCTTCCACACATGGCTACTAATTGTGGTAGAAATTATGTCAAAACCAACAAAAATATATATATTTTTTTCTTTTTTAAAGCCCTTTTCTTTGTTGAACTGTTATATTTTGGCAGTATTTAACTGTCGTTCATTTGAAAATGTGGGTGATTTTAGTGGTGCCTTGATTTCAGCCAAAAGATGGATGAGTCCAGGCGTTCATGTTGCAGACCGGAGCACCAGCGTGAAGGCTGGAAGTCTGGCAAGGCTTATTCTAAGGCAAGAATTATTAGCGTTTCGCCTGACTAAGTATGATCCACTTCTGAACACAGACTGAATTTCTTTCCCTGAATGTCCATCCCTCCTTTGTGCCCTTCACCTTAAACTATGCTGTTAAAATCAAAAACGGTGTGGAAAGAAGAACAGAGTTCATTAGGCGTATCTTACAATTGGACTTTAATTTTCTAACAATAAATATTACTTTATTGTTTTCTGCTGTTGGTTTTTCCACCCCTTTCATCTCCTGTTATATGGGATCTCAATTACTTTGCTGAGAAATCATGCAGTAGTTTCTTGGGGGAAAAACAGTTTTCACCAGCTCTAAGCAGCAGGTGACGGTATTTCTTTATAAGCATCTCCTCCTGTCTGCTGCGCTTGTTGCAATAACGATTTCAAAACAGCTGCTGGGAAAGCTGCCTGTGCAAACAAACACATAAACAGTAACTACAGTCGGGTTAGCAGCTGGGTGAGCATCCGAAGGGAGCGACTGGTGATGACCTACTTTAGCAGCTTCTTGTCTTTGACGCTCGCTGCACTCATCAGTCGTGATGCGGCGATGTTATGATGTCTGCATGCAAGCAGAGGGGCCTACTGCTGCATGTCGGGATTATTCGGTTGCACGACAGCGGGACTTTGACTGCGTACTATGTGAATAGAGCAGCACGGTTTGTGTGCTCACATGCAAATTCAGCAAGATTCAGCCAGTTATTGGGCTGTTTTATGCGACTGCCTTAAAAGCATAGAGGGAGGGCGTGAGAGCACAAACAAACCCAATTATTGGGCTCTCGAAACCCCAAACAAAACATCCCAATAGCTTCATATATAAGAGGTCCACTGAGATTAATTGCGTCATTAATGTGTTTCAATTTTAATGTCAGTCAACCTCCAGGTATATTTGTGAGTTGAGCAGCTTTACGTTTCCATTCGGAAAAAAATAAAATGAAACTGAAAAAAAAATAATAATTCACTCACCATCTTGGAGTTCTAAACCAAAATAAATTAATAAATAAGAAATAAAAACAAAAATAAAAATGACTAAACAGCAAATGGGAACTACTTTCCACATAAAAGACGAAAAAAATTTAAATGCAATTTTTAATGCGTTGTTTATTTTTAAATTAAAACATGACAGCTCATAGGAGCAAACAAAAGCTTCGGGTTTGTGCATCAGACCAAAAGCATTACAAGGGGAAAAAAAGTGTCATTGCTGCAAATAACATTTAACAAAAAGTGCAACATAAATCCACACAAGTAGAGCCAGAGGTGTCAACTGAGAAAAAATAAATAAATAGGTGTTGCATGCACCAATTTATATTTACGTTTATCAGTTTCTGTAAACGTCATTTATATCGAGAGAAAATCTTTTTTTTTTTTAAATAAAAGCCTCATATTGTTTGATTAAAAACGTAAATATATACACAAGCTTTTTGTTGAAAAAACCCAAACATAAATAAATAAAAAAGCTGTGTCATAAAAAATATATACATTTAGAAACATGCTTGTTGAGCATCATTTCAAGAAAACAAGAGGGGAAAAAGCTAATACATTAGCAGTGTTCCTTTAATAATGAAAAGCACTTAATTTACCTAGATCATCATCCTCTGTGAAAGCAAAGTAACACACAAATGAACAATATGAAAAGATTTTACCCTCAGGCAGTCTAATTCATATTTAAAGAGGTCGTTCCACTTCATGGGGCCTTTTGGCTCCTTCGCTCTGGCACTTGAACACATCACAATATTTCAAAGTGGCAGACTTTCTCTGTTCAAAGTAAACACACTACCTGAGCAGTTGCGCGCGTAGTTCAGGTTCTCCTGCGGGTGTCCGGGAAGGCGGCACTGAAAGCGGTGCTGCCAGAACTCCGGGAACCACGGGTTGCGCGTGTTCGTGCTGAGCTTGAGCTTCAGGAAGTAATTGTCGAAGGAGGAAACCTCCTCGGAGTGGAGCTTCACGGTGATGCCGCCGACAGCCTCGTGCTCGTATCCCTCCACCACCTCCACACGGTCCGCCCAGCCGTCACTGCAGGAAACGGCACAGTTAATCAGCCAAACTAATCTGAAGGCACACATCGACCGCCGCCATGTTTCACCGCTGGGCTTGGACGTCCATGGTGATGGCACGTGCAGACATGCTAGGTGGTGCTAGCAGCGGTGGTTATGGGCGCCATTTTGTCAATGAGACACTTAATTACTTTAGAAGTTAAAGAGTATTTAATTTAGATGTTCGCTTTGCAAATTCTGGTAAATACCGAAACTTTAAAAACAAAATTAACTATTTTTTTTATTCACATAAGACTAAATATTGGAAATATGTACAGAGAAGCCGCGTGTCATTGGCTTATGCCCTTTTTACGTAGTAGCGCGGCTGCCACGTGCGTGGCGTCTCACAAACACAAGCTCATGTACGTGCATTAGTAAACACGTGCTAATGTAGCGACAGGCTACACTGTGGACTAGCAGACTGGCAGAAAGTTTTCGCATCAACAATCGAAAAAGAGTGGTTCTCCATTGCCAGTGGGGTATCTGTGCTGCTGGCGTCAGGTATCCTGGTCGTATTTGCGGTAGTAAAATTCTCAAACACCTTGATGTCATCCAAAAAAGATGACATGAACTTGTTAGTTCCTCTGTCCATTGTTGTGGCCGATATTGGGTGAAATAAAGCGCCGCAAGGCTTTGTTTGTGAGAGTTGCGGCTACGTGGGATTTTCTTGTGGGCGGAGCTTGATAAGGTCCATTGGGGCAACATCCAATAAGAATGTACTTTATTAAATGACACACAACGCAACGTTGTTCCATTAAAACACAGACCCGCATGTAAATAACATATTCCCTTATTGACTACAGCCCTAAAATGAGTGAAAAAAAAGAAAACATACAAAAAAATAAATAAATGAGAGCCTGAGATAAATTCAGAGTTCTCTCAGATATCCTGCCGTGTTTCCACAACTCCATTTTCCAGTTTCCGAAGGGTGTGTGGTTCTCACTGTACTTGCCGAGAAAAGCCAAGAAAAGCCTCAGAGTCCACTGACACAATCACAAGTCCGGTGAGAATTCACAGATCAGGAGCATAGCTGTGCAGTCTGCCCCCATTAGATTCAAACTCTCACCCCGCTCACACACTGTGAGTCTCAAGGGGAAAATCTGTGTCCGCACTGGTCATAATCTCTATTTGCTGCATGTGTCACTTATTATGGCTAACGATCTGAAGAGCCCACCATCATCTTCTGCAATAACATAAAAACATGTTAAAGAAAAGACAGAAGTGTGTGCCATCTAAATGGAATACAGACGTGGAGCACAATCTGCATGAAAGATGGAAGTGTTGGCGTCTCTTCAGGTTTTCTTAATGGTAACTTTTTTATGCCTTGCATTAGGTTTGATTAATTTCTTCTGTAATGGGGCGAACAACAGCTCCAGTTAATGAGAAACCTAATTTTCCATGGGACTGTAATTGGGAGAACCCTGACTGCCACCTTGGCTGACTCTGCCACAGTGTGCATTATTATTTTTGCTCCCTAGCAGTGGTTACATAAGCCTAATTATTATGTTTTTTTGTAGGAATAAGCAATAAGATCTTCAGCACTTGCTGGGAACAACCAACACAGATTTTCCACAGTTTCTTCCTGGACAAAACTGAGGAAGCAGCAACCCGTAGCGTAAGGCAAAATACGGATGCCTGCCAGGCTTCTGCTAAGTACCGTGGTTTGGGGGGACAAAATGCCAATCCTGGACGTCTTCACTTTTTGTCACAGTACAACCACAAACTTGGATGTGTTTTATTGGGATTTCATGTGACAGAGCAACACAACGTAGCATGTAACTAAGAAGTAGAGGGAAAGTCTGAATGGTTTACACATTTTTCACTGATTATCTGCAACTTCCAGGTGTTTTGGGGATACACCTCTAACAGGTTTTCACGTCTAGACACTGAAATGGCTTTGGTCAGATTAGCAAGAGAGTTTCTATGAACAACTATTTCAGTGTCAAAAATTGCCACAGACTTTTGATTGGATTTACTTTTGACTTTATGTCATTCTAAAACAGGAGTTGATCGAAACCAAAGCTTTAGCATTGCTAAAAGCTTTTCTATTGTCTCAAGTCTTTTGTTGCCTCTTACAAGTCTTCCAGTTGCCCTGAAAACATCTTAATCCATCTTTTTTTAATGTCTTAACTACCACACGT